AAAACATTGGTCGGGTTCAGAGTGATAGGGAAATGGCTCTAATGTTGGCCTATGGATCTAAGATTGGGCCCATCGCTTAAAATCTGCTATTTATCAATTTTATCTAGATGAACGCGTCATTGAGACGGTACTAATGGATATTTTTGGTCGTTATTGAAAATTTAGTCGATTGCTGAATTTATGTATGGGCCCAAATTAAGGGCAATTAGGGCGACATTACATTCATTTCCCCCATCTGTCGTTTCTGTAATTTGGAACGTGAAACCTCGGAACATCTGCTCTGCAGTTGTAGTGCAGTACACAAGCGTAGATCTAAATTTATTGGAATTATTAGCTTACAACCTAGTGAAATTTGGCCTGCAAGTCCTGGAAAGGTAGTTGGTTTTATAAACCATATTATACCGGACTGGGAAAAGATGTGTCCAGGCAATTAGCCGTCCACTCGTTAAATAGTGGTCGGTTTGCATGATGCAAACAGCAAATAGGGGTACCACAAAAGTTCAAATAATGGACGCAGTGGAGCACGTTTCTTCGGGATCTTCTGGTCTTAGAGTTACCTCTATGGTTCCATCACAAATTTTCTGAGGCTTCAAGAAATATTATTCAAAATATGAAAATTATTGCAGGCCGGACAATTTCCTAAATTTGTTTGTTTTAGCGATCTCAAATTGGATAGTCCCAAAATTATCCTGGAATATCACAGGTTTTTTTTTCGAGATCGATAGTTTAAGTCCAAGACTCATGCAATATTTTTTGTTCGAGATATTTCCATCTTGGAAAATTTTCTTCGTTCCAGAATAATGAGATTTTTTCTTATACTGCTATCTAGAAAAGTAGTCGTGAAGGTCCCAGAGCTATGAAAATTTAAGGTGTTACAAAACCCGAGATCTTTAGAATAGATTGTCAAATTTTGTCTAACTCCGAGACTGTGAACATTTGTCTTGTCTCTGTGCCTCAATGTTTTGTTCTAATCACCAATTCGCGATCTGAATCTAAAATCATCCTAGTAAATTATTTGTTGTCATAAATCGAGTCAGAAAAATTAGTACAGAGTGTGGAAATGGACAATGCAGTTGCTTATTGAATTTATAAATTTATTATTTGATTACCTAATAATAATTAAACAAATAATTATTTTTCGAGACGTATGGGATCCTTAAACAATTATTTGTTTTATTTTAAAGAATCATGAAAAACGAAATATTGGAACCATTTTGTCGATCAATAAATTAGTAATTTTTTTTATTGTTTTAAAGTCACTATTTTCGTTATTAAATCACTAAAGTCACTACTATTATATTACATACCCACTACCAACCCTGGAATTGTAAGAGTAATAACCTATTTTCTAATGTTTTGTCATGCTTGAAAACTTCTTATCTTTCAATGGTTAAAATTTTAGAGTGGTGTCTCTTGCCATTTTTGAGATATGTGTGGCCAAAATTTCATAAAATTCTAAGATCCTTCGACCCAAACCTTACTTACCTTACCAATCAGGCTAAGGTCTTGTTGTCCTCTGCTGTCCGAAGAAGGCGTCTCCACTCTACTCGATCCATGGCCACAATTCGCCGACCTCGTAGTCTGCGAAGGGCCAAAGGTGGTGTCAAAGGTTTTGAAATTTCGGTATTTATCGGTATTTACTATTTTAATTTATTTTATATTTTAGCTGTTTTCGAAAGCGAAAATTTTAGCTTTTGGACTATGATCGGAAAATTCTAAAAGAAAACTCCGGGCAATGTTTGAATTAACTTCTGAAAGAACATCCTGAGAAAGAAGAAAGAAGCTCTTCTGGACGAAATTTGAGAAAAATTCTATGAAAAGTTGGAGAAACATCCGGAAACTACCAACACAAGAATTGAGAAACTTCTAGTGAATATTCAATGAAACCATCGGAAAAAAACGGATGTCACTTCTAAAGGAAGCCAGAAAAGTTTCGAAAAATGGAAGTAAATTCCAGAAGTAGCCAGTTCTAGGGGAAGCCAGAAACAGGGAAAAACCTTAAAATAAAAGTAAAAAATCTATGGCTTATGGACACACAGAAGAAGACGGAAGAAACTTCCTGAAGACGCTGGCAGACACTTCCTAAGGTAGATTGCAAGAAAATTCTGGAGAAATTTGGAAGCCAGAGCAGAGCGCCTACGGAATAGTCGAAAGAAACAAGGACATAATTCCGGAAGAAAGATTTCTGGGGGATGTTCCAATGATCCAGTAAATTATCCTGATATTCATAAAACATCCCTGAAGACCCCTCAATGCCCCTGAAGTTTTCGGAACATTCCTGAAATGCACTTAGTAATGTTCCATAAACGTTCTTATAATTTTCTTGAAGTTAATAGGGCTGTTTTAGAGTTCTCTGATTATCCTCCAAGTACTCGGAACTTCCCTGATTATAATGAGGCTACACGCAAACCAAAAATTTATTACAATGAATGTTAGTTCCATTTCCTATCATCCTCTGTTCATGAACATCGCAGCGAATGTTAGAAGTTGACCTTGCAGGCGATGTAATGGTTTTTTTGACTGTTCCGATTGTCGTGAAATAAGACCGCAATGTGCATGATCAAAACAGTGCTGGTTGACGTTTTCCTGACCAACAGCTAAATACCTAGCCATTTTACCCCATCTGCCAATTTCACTCGCACGGAAAAGCAATACACCGAAGCAGGCGTCAAATTATTTTGTCAAGAATCACACGAACCAACCGGCTAATAACCGTTAACTCCCCGAATGCAAAATTACATTCTGTGAAACATTGCTGAAACGGGTTTCCATGGTGACGCCATGTGCACAACACATGTATTGTGTTTACAGAGAGGTACCGTTGTTTGCGGAAGGAGTTTTAGTCGGTATTTTTTTTCTTTATTCCTGGATACCTGTTTTTTTTTTTGCAATAAAGATACCATTTGCGGTCAGTATTCTTACTACCAAAGATCAGGCAGCTAGGAATTGGAAAACAGGAATACCGGCTAATACTCCTTCCGCCAACAAAGATACCTGTCTGTATTTTCTGCTCGATGGAAGCCCATCACACAGGCTTTCAGGCACAGTCGTCACAGTCGATCCGGTTTCTAATTTCGTTCGTTGATAATGCACTTCTTTGCGTGATCAAATTTAAATTTATCGCTTTGCATATGGTTCCGTGTTGAAGAGTAGTGAAATTTTGATGGTTTCAACGTCAGAAATCCATCGCCCATAGCTAAGCAGAACTGCACACCAATAGAAAGGATTGTGACGTATCTACTACCTATTTAGATGTGCATCCTCAATAATGACGTAAGGATTTGTATTATGCAGTTCGTGATTTACATTTAAATAAATCTGTAATGTATTTTCGTAAAATATATAAACTATAATGTTACTAAATCATAGGGAAAGTTAACTCATCAGACTCATTCTTGCAAGGTTTGATTTAGTTACACTAAGGTTAGGGTCGAACAAAACAAAAGTTGCTATAATTTCAATCCTATGTTTTTAGTAAATTATTACATAAGGACTGTATCGAAAATATTTCTTTCAAAACCAATAGAAAATTGTCCGCTCTGAAAAATTTGATTCATCACCATCGGTTTGTCGTAAATACTGACAGCAAGTGTGAGTGAAGTAATTAAATTGGGTTGTTAGCGGAATGCTTAAATACAACAGCAAAAAAGGGTTATTTTCTTTTAATTCCACTTAAATAATGTTGGTATCGATGACAGATACGTATTTCGACTACAATGTGCAGTCTTCATCAGTCTTCATCATATGATGGCTACGAGGCCTTTGGGATTTTTTTACTTTACTTAAACCTTTGGTTATTATTAGTTAGGTAGGTTCCGATTCTACACATTGTAGTTTCATTTTTATACCTGTGAACTTGACATTTTTACCTAGGGGATGAGTACTTAAGGTTAAGTTTTTGATAAGCCTTTAGTGGGAATGAGACTGATGAAGACTGCACATTGTAGTCGAAATACGTATCTGTCATGGATACCAAAATTATTTAAGTGGAATTAAATGGAAATAACCCTTTTTTGCTGTTTTAGTTAAGCATTCCGCTAACAACCCAATTTCATTACTTCAGTAGGTTAACGCTGCTAGCGCTACATAGTTTTGATATGACTAATACACAAACAATAATGAATAGGCAGTATGACCAATTAGAGAACCATTAGCACACTGGTACACTTCCTCTAGACAGACAATTCAGACGGATCTAAAAATCAAACGCGTGTGTTTAATACCTACGAATTTTTGTACGAGCATCACTAACCAACACAACCACAGAAACTTCGTCCTAACCGGAACGACTGAGTATCTTACCTCTCCGCAGCGTACTTACCGAGAGCGACTTATTTAGTAGCTTAGAATTGGATTTGGATAGAAGAGAGCGTAGCGTAAGAACCACCACCAACCGCCCCCCTACCGGGCCACAGTGGGTTTCTAAGCAGTAGTAGCTTCGTTGCGGTTGATTATGGAGAGGATAAGCGCGGGAATATAGTTATCTACAGTCGCGGATCGATCGAATGCGGTGGAAACATCACAAGGAAAAAAAAGGCTTGCAGTACCATCGAGCCGCGGTGCGCGCGTTACGTGTTGTTACCTTTTAGTGGCCCGGCCACACAGCACACAGCTCCTCATCGTCCGCTCGGCGGCTGGTTTTTCCTTCTTTCTATTTAGTTATAATAGTATAAAGCGCTTAGACGGAGCACTTTTTAGGCTTAGTTGTGCTGCAATTCCCGACCGAGGCGGAACTGTCTCTACCGATTTCCCACTAACAGTGTGACACAGAACGCGAACGCGTGGTGACTGTTGGCATTCTCAGTAGAAGAGTGTTTGGTGTTAGTGAATTGTATTTCCAAATTTTTAAAAATCAATCGAGTGAAAAACTGCAAACGTGATTGTGATTGAAGAATATTGAAAAACTTAGAAAAATAAAAAAATACTGAAGTGAAACTCTACAGCAGTGTGCAACCGGTTTTTATTAATTCAGAATCTTATCTAATTTGTTGAACCTCCAGTGAATCAAGCAAAATGTCTCCATCGATTAAGAACATCCCACGTCGCCAGGCCATCCCGATTCTGTACACCCGGGGAACCCATTACGATGTTGGATACGATGTGGTGAGTGAAAGTTTAATTTAATTTTTTCAATTGTGACTGTTCTATTGAGTGTTATCTACCTGTGTTGTTTAATTCAGTCATGATTATTAACATTATTTTAAAACACGAAATTGGCATGGTAACTTTCTTGAAAGTTAGGGGTAAAACAAGTATAGTTAAAAATAAAGGTACAAACTTTGAGAAGACTTATAGTTTACCAGAATTTTGATTTCTGTAGAACAATCGAAGTGGTATTTGTCTGTCTAAGTAGTATTTCCTAGTAAAGTTCGATCAGTCGCAGTTAGGGAAAGTTGTGTAGGTTGATTGCTTTTTTAACTAGCTTGATGTTGTCTAATATAATCTAATACTAATTTAACCAGTACAAGGAAGTATCCTGGAAAACGATTGGGTTAGTTGGAGCCAAATCATTTTTCTTGTCAAGATTGATGTTTACACAGCTGATAGGGTAGCGGAAAGTATGGTTGTGTTACAATAAATGATTAATTCATCAATTCATTACAAAGAGCTGAATGTGTTTGTCGAAAAAAATCGTTGTACAACGCAATTTTGTTTGTTTTGGACTACCAACAAAACATATTTTAGTCACACTGGTAAATTTGTACTTTAACAAGGGAAATCTGTACCATTTTTCGAAGAAGTTTATTGGATTAAAATAGTCTACACACTTAGTTCTTTCTACCGAGCTCGGCTGTGTAAATCTCGCAAAAAAAGTTTTAATGAGATCTCAGATCGAGCTCGGTAGAAAAAACTAAGTGTGTATCTTTTCGTTCCATTAGAATGATGATGTATCCACATATTGGGGTGATACAAAATTTACTTTTTTTTAAATACTCATAAAATAAGTTAGTGTTTTCACAAAAGTTGTAGATCACATTGAAACAAGCAACTTTGCTGAAAACAGCAGTTAACTATCTCTTAACGTTGACGAGATATGATGCATTGTTTGTGGAAATAATATCAATGATTTCACCATGCACAAAACAATAAATACGTTTGTTCCGATGCGTTAGTTCATTAGCTACGACATAAATCCTATTAGAGCGCATTGTATGCATATTTACGCTCATTGTTCTCAAAACAAAAGAAGCGCTCCTAGCGAATCCCCTTTTTCTCCGTTTATCCTTAGGACGAAGTAAATCTAATGGCGTTTCAATGCGTTTGGACGGAATTGAAACGCGTAGGACGAATTTAGAAGCAAGAAGCAGTGTTAGATTTTTAATAATATCTCAACATTGTTTGACTCTTTATCAAATCCAACGGTACGTATGGAAAGGTGGATAAATTTAGAAGTTATCTTTGATGAAAACATTCCATGTTTTGTTCAAACGCTTTCCAAAAAGCGTGGTAAAGTGCGGGATGTCCTTAGTAGGACGGAAATTAGATCAAAAACCCTACAATCATTTTATTGCTTTAAAATTTTCTACGAAGTTTATCGATTTTTGTCGAACATTGTGTATCGCTTTGATGCATATTTGAATACCTATTAGAGATTTTTAGTAAAATTTAGACACTTTTCTAATAAGTTTAAACATGTGGCAGATCAGTCAACAATATGCACAACACTTTATTAGGAGATCTTTGGAGGAACATTACAATAGGAGTTGTAACAAATACCATAATTGGTAATTGAAAACCTCCACCGCTTATAAAACTATGATTAACAAAGGTTGTAAGTAAAGACAAATAATTGGCATTGCTAAATGATAGATTGTATTTATCCTTCTCATTATTCAAAGTTTTAGTAAGTCTATTTCATGTAATAAACGACATAAATTAATTAAAATTAGCCATGGAAAACATTAATACATACCATTTCATCTTCACTGCACGTCAAATCGCATGCGTCGCTGAAACTGTAGTTGTGATCAGAGCTGGACTCAGTTGTTTCAATTAGAAGAGCTTTGGCACCAGCGGATAATGGCATACTATTTTTATCAGGAAGTGCTCGTAGACTTGAAATAAGGGGGTCGCATGATTCCAGGAGCCGATTCAAGAGATTTGTGTTCGTTGCGGTTCTGGAGAATTTACAAGTATGATCCACAGACAAACAGACATAACACTCGCAAGATGTTCATCGAACAAGCATTTAACGGTCAATTTGAAAGTATCTCAGTTGGTAGTACTGCCACATGTGGCGCGCACAGTAAATTCCCTTGCGTTTGACGTTTTCACACTACCGCCATTTGTTCAGCGTACTACCCACCACAGTGTACTCAACAGATGGCGGATATGTCTTAGCGACGATGTTTTACAGTGAGAAATATTCAATGTGTTATGTCTGTTTATCTGTGTATGATCTATCCTGTAGCGCTTGATGTCTTTGTTTCGGCACTCCTGGGCATCTTCGGAGAATTGTCCGATCGGAACAAGAAACGACGATATTATTTGTGATCCATGCAGCAAAATTGTATGAACAGATACTGGTAGGTAATACCACGGATAGTTGTCAATCAATCTTTTCGCTGTTTCATAGCAATATTCTTCAAACTTGGTAGTGTCGATCTCTAATCCCGATGAAAGTGCTTCAAGAATTGATTTGCATCTGTATTATAGTGAACCATCTTTGCCTGTGATTGACGCTGACTTTCCCAATTCTGGAAGAAACGACGTGCACTGTTACCGTCGTTAGACGTTCCGGCTCCACCCGAACGAGGTTTGTCTACAATTAGACCCATTGCAATTTGGAATCGTTCTTGAATACTCTTTGCGTGATTGGCTCCTTTTGCTTGCCATTTTTGCACTTCCAAGCGATAAGATACATGAAGAAAATATTCGTAGAATTACGGATAAGCCACGCGTGTAGCGTTGATAAACCAAACTTGAAGACATCTTCATTTCCTTTCTTTTTTTTTGACCCTATCAAAATCGTTCATCTGTGAAGTCACCGCAGATGTAACATTTTTGCGCAGATTCCGTCGATGTTACCGAATTACAGACTTTGCCGTCGACCATAGTCATAAGCATCTCGTATGTGGTGACAACATTCCGACCGTTGATAGTAATGCGTGTTGGCTGCAACTCTTCAACAACTCTTGAAGTTTCACTTCAGTCGAAGTTTCGGTTACCGTAATTCCGTTAGTATTTGGGTAGCAATTTTGTTTAGCCTTCTGAACTTGGAAATATTAACATCTAAAATCATGGCTAGGGCTTCATCTGCCTAGTAAGGAACAATTTTTGGCCGCTCAGCTTCCTTGAGAGCAAAAACCATTTGCTTCGCTCGAGTAGGAGTAGTGCACGTTGCCTCTCGAACTACCGAAGCTTTACTATTCCTGTTATAGCCTCGAAGACTCATTTGAGTTGCGTAACAAAGCTCACTTGCTTCATAACTTTGCAGTAACTCAGCCACTTTTTGCCTATTGACGCTATCTGAGCAATCGTCAAATGATGTTGTCCCATTGGATGTAGATGGAAGTTGCGAAAGAATCTCTTCAGGCAGTCTAAACGGCTGGTCGAAATATTCAGCATGGTTATCAAACACACGAGCCAATGTTCAATTATGTCTCAACCAATTTTGTTCAAAATATTTGCACAGGTGGATCACAACATTTGAAATTTCTGTTCGAACATCTGGCATACAATCTGTCGTGACCGGACTCCTTCTCTGGACCATCCGTTCCAAGCGGCTGAAACTGGACCTTTCTTTTGCTTAGTTTCACTTACGAATTATAATTGGAAGCAAGAAATAATTCGTAAGTGAAACTAAGCAAAAGAAAGGTCCAGTTTCAGCCACTTGGAATGGATGGTCCAGAGAAGGAGTCCGATCACGACACAATCCAAATCAATATCATACGCAAGTATGATTTTCTGAAACACAGCGTCACGTTTAGCTATTGACGTACCTTCAGTATCCCTCCATATTAAAAACAGCGAGCGTTTGTCAATGTTTTCTAGACATTCAAAATAACCAGAAAATGTATGTTTTTTTTGGGAAAGCGACCTCGCAATAAGCCATGCTGAGTACTCACCTGCAGCAAAGCCTATTTCTTAAGCTCAACTGAAGCAACCTGGTTCAGTGGTTCACTCTTTGCCGATATCACACACACACATGCAAACGAAACATGGTGTCCATGTCCATGCAATTTTACGAATTCTTGGATGAAGCGCGGACATAAGTTCACCTAGTTACCACCGTCTTTAGGGTTCAAATTGATTCAACGACAACTCCTAAGAGCAACCGTACCAGTCGTTGTCATTTGCGGCACTATTTTACTTACGCACAGCGTTTCCATTTTGGCTTAATCACTCCTCTCCAAACCAGTCGTTGCTATCAGAGTCATAACTTTGACGTTTATTCAAAATAGCAACCGTCTGATGCGTTGCTACCGGGTCGCTAAATTTATGAACTCACTACTTCCCAAGATGCGGATTGCTATTTCCCACACCTGAATAGCAACCCCCGGTACGCAAGTAGCGTTATGGTCAAGGGGTTGGTAACTCTACACAGTGTGCCAAAATCAAACTGGGGCACACCCGGGTGCAGTCATTGACGTTGTTTGGCACCCATGGTTACATTTTTTATGATCTTCAAAGTTACTGGCAACACTGAACTTTTTCTGCGCCTGCGCAGTGTGCATGTGTCAAAATTTGTTATTGATGTTGCCACTCCTAGTCAAATTATTTTCAAAACAACCGTGAATCTCCACCAAGTCACGCCATGGATTCTCAAAATCGTTACACCCGTGACGGCAGTCGCATCCACATTTCCTCCCATACGAAGAACAGCTGACAGTGGTATCTTGACCTGACCGAGGTTTCCGGCCATGGCTACATGAACTAGCGATGCAGCTCCCATAACTGCGGCTGCTTCCAATGATGCTGCTGGTCCGTCTTTTTCGACGAATTTTAGAGGAGACGGACCAGCAGAAGGAACAGCAGCAGCAGCAGCAGCATTGGAATCAGCCGCAGCCGTGGGAGCTACATCGCTAATTTGTGTAGCCGTGGTCGACGCTGGAAATCTTGGGCCGGTCACGACAAGCGGTGCTTGAGTTTTAATCGGAAAG